TTCTGGTTCTAGGGCTGTGTTGTACTGGAAGTGCTGGTGGTTCATTTGCGTGAAGGGGAAATTCCTGGACGCAAAAGCACAGAACTGAGCTGCAAAAGAGGACATTCTGTTCTCCACATGAAGATTCAGGGGTCAGCTCAGGCTTAATCTTGCTGATTGCTGTGCTTCTAAGAGACCACACTTGATGATTCAGAGGAATGACTTGGATTGTAGCCCAAACCTGCGTGTTGTTTGAGGAAGTAAGACTGATTTTATGTTGCAGTTTTTATCTCAAAGCTAACATGGTTTCTTTTTGTTTCATAATCACACTATAGTATCTCCCCAAGATTTCTCAAAAAATACTATCTTCATGTTGTTTGCATCATCACTAATCTCCATTGTTTGTTTCCACTCAAAAATGAAAAAAAATATCAAACATGTAAAGAAAAGAGAAAAGGAGTCAGGGAAATTGTATTGGTACTTGTAAAGCCTGAAAGACATGCAAAGAGAACAGTAGAGATTATAAAAATTTTGAGATCATAAAAATCTTTTTCTTTCCTGTCAGTTGTATCTGGACTCTAGAATAATTTATTTTTTTTTTTTTGTCTAAGAGACAGGTGGTCTGCTTTAGCAGTCATCTGTGAGCAGTAGTCTGCTTCTTTCTCTGTCTCAACTGTGTAGAACACATCTTTTACCTTTTTTGTGCCTATCCCCAGAAGCAGCAGCTATTTTCAGGGAACACTCTTGTTCCCTGTAGGCATACTACTGCCCTGGCTCACCCCAGTCATCATACTGTGCAGAAATACCAGTTTTCTGGGAAATCTCTAGCTGATGATTCATGTTCTCTTTACTCTAAACATATTGTTTTATCAGATCTGAAGCATCTGGTTTATTTCTTTAGTTGCTTTTTTTAAAAGATTTGTAGGTGCTGTTAATTTACACTTAATTTCTAGGAAGTTTAGATGCCATCTAAAGGATTTGTCTTCTACATGACTCCCATGTACCTGTGTGCTTAGCAGATTAAGATCTGAGATGACTTCTGAGAAATGTTGAAAAGAAATGCTTCAAAAAAAGGTGAAAAACCTCCCACTTTCAGGTTGGAACTAGTCTGTGAATGCTTCATGCCTATTGAAAAATAAATCACCTGGTTTCATATTCCAACTAGGCAGGTGCACACATTGGCATAAACTTAGACCTTATAAGCCAATGGAAATTGCTAATAAAATGCAACCAACACAGTAAGAAAAACAAAGTTCTCTTTTAAATAGTGATCCTTGGGATTACATTTGTTGCAAAATCCTTAGATGCATTTGTTAAGCACTGTGTAACAGCAGCAACATAGACTGTTAGGAGGAAAAATGGAGGAGGAGGGATTACTGGTGGATAGCAAGTATAATTCATATGAAAGGCTAGGATGCAGTCATGGGTTGTGTAGGGAAGAGGGGAGTTACCCTGAGGAAACTAAAGTGGGAACTAATTGTATCTCGCAGTACCTAATGGGGAGTTACAGTAAAAAGAGAGCCAGGCTTTTCTTGGGGGAAAATAGTAAAGTTACAAGAACCAACAGTCCTAGGTTAAAACGAAAAATTCCAGTTGAACTTTGAGGGTCCCTGTGAGACAGGGATATCATAACACTGGAACAGCTCCCCAGAGAGTCTGGGGAGTCTTAGTTCTTGGAAATCAAAGAATCCCTGAACAGTTAGGTTTAGAAAGGATCACTGGAGGTCATGAAGTCTAACCCCCAGCTCAAGCAGGGTTCCTTAGAATCCATTACTCAGAATGCGTTTCCAAGTGATTTTTTTAATATTTCCAGGGAAGGAGATTCCAGAACCTCTCTGGCCAATCTGTTACAGTGTTTGGTCACCACACAGTAAAGTTCTTCCTCACGGAATCATAGAATATCCTGAAATAGAAGGGACCCATAAGGATCATTGAGTCCAACTCTTGCCCCTGCACAGCACAGCCCCAAAAGTCACACCATTTTCCTGAGAGTGTGAGAGTGTTGTCCAAACACTTCATGAAGTCTGACAGGCTTGGTGCTGTGACCATTTCCCTGGAGTGCCTGTTCCAGTGCTCACCCATCCTCTGAGTGAAAAACCTTTTCCTGATATCCAGCCTAAACCTCCCTGGACTCAGCTTCATGCTGTTTCCTCGAGTCCTGCCACTGACTGCAAGGATGCAAAGGTCACTGCTTTTCCCTCTTCTTCTCCTTGTAAGGATGCTAAAGACCACAATGAGGTCTCCCTTCAGTCTCCTCTAGGCTGAACAAACCAAGTGATAGGCTCATGTGGAACTTCCTGTGCATCAGTTTCTGCCCTTTGCCCTTTGTCCTATTGATTGACACCACTGAGGAGAGTCTGGACTCATTCTCCTGGCTCTCTCTCTTAAGGTACTTACAGACATTGATAAGGTCCACTCTCAGTCTTCTCTTCTTGAGGCTGAACAGGCCCAGCTCCCTCAGCCTTTCGTCCTACGAGAGATGCTTCAGTTCCCCAAAATCTTCATTTCCCTCTGCTGGAAACACTCCTGGAGCTCCATGTCTCTCTTGGGCTGTGAAGCCCAGAACAGGACACTGCACTCCAGATTCGCCTCACCAGGACTGAGTGGAAGGGCAGGATCATCTCCTTTAACCTGTTGACTATGTTCTTCCTAAGGCATCCCGGGACACCATTGGCCTTCTTGGCCTCAAGGACACGCCTCTGGCTCATGGACAGCTTGCTGTCCACCAGCATCCCCAGGTCCTTCTCTGAAGAGCTGCTTTCCATCAGGTCAGCCCTGTACTTTCTAATCTTACTAAAGCAGGGATTTAGTCTTCATTATATACATAGAATACCATGTATCCTCTATAAACTTACCTTCTAAGTGAATAAAGTTATCTATAATCAAATCTGTATGTGTTAAATTAATTTCTGAATTAAATTTAAAGCAAATCCTATTAGAAATGATCTCTGAGAAGGCTCTTCAAATTAGCACTGTGGTGAAAACACATCTTGGTTGTTACTGGGTTAATATTATCATCTTGGGTAGTATTCTTGTTCACATTTTTGACAGTTTCAACTCTTATTAGAAGTCTAAGACAGTATTAAGAAGCTGTAAACCCCAAATTCTGCACATAGAAATGTCCTGAGAACAACTCCTGCAAAACCCAAACCTGAATCTAATGACATCTGGCAAGGGCTAATTGGTTCTGGGAATAAGTTCTTATGAGAATAGAGTCATACTATGCTGATCTTTAGAGAACCTTGGGAATACAGAGTGGCCCCCCTAACGCTAGGGACTGCTTCCTTAATCCTACCAAGCACTGCAAGTGTGAACTGCCCACTGTGCCTTTTGGAGGCATGCTCAGCATGGAGCCTTTTTTGGATGCTCCTTTTTGTTTCAAGTGACAGAAAAATCCCTGAGAAGAGTTTTAATACTTTTCCCTTAAGATCAGAGTCAAGGCAGAAGCGACCTGCTTTCTCTTTTCTCCAGTGCTGTGTTACTCATCAGGGACAGTCTTTTGTGTAAATACTGTATTTCTGCCTTTCTCATGCTCTGTCCTCAGCTCATGATCTTCTTTTCCCATTTGTGGGATGGGAATTAAACGTTTTAAACACGTGTCTGTTTCAGCAGTCATTTTGTCATTATATTTTAAGGAAAAGCTTTGAAAATCTGTGGCTTTGGCTCAATCCTGGAGTCCACGAGAAACCTTCTTATTCAAGGCTTGAGAAAATGAGGCTCAGACTCTGTGGTAGCTACCGGGACTTGGGTGGCTGAGGAAAGCCTTGTAGCTGATTGCACCTGACCTGCAAGGTCTTTGCATACCTGTTTCACTAATGCTGACCTAACTGACCCTATGTGCTGAAGTCACTGGTGGTTTCAAAACCTTGTTGGTAGGTAACAGCTTTAATGGCCTTGCAAGCATGAATTTGCTTTTTGATCACTGTGATTTGAAGACACTCAGCACTCTGGTAGGTACTCTCAGTTCTTTCTGTGATGGAGAAATACATGATATTTTTTTTTATGTGAAGAAGAGCACAAGCTAATTTTCCAGGATGGAATATGCCTGAGGTGTGGTGACCACCTCAGAAATGTGCCATTAACAACATCAGTCAGGATGTAATCCTGCAACATGGAAGTGAATGGGCACTTCAAGTACTAAGGCAAGGTGACCACTGTGGAAGAAAGACCAACACTTGGCTATCAGCAGTTGAAAGATGAGGCAGAAAGGGCAATCAATGTACAGCAGTTCATAAATACTTCTCAAATTGGTTAATGAGCTGTTCTGATCAGGTGGGGTTTTTTTGCTGCTTCTTGACCAGTGCTTTCTGTCAGGCATAAATGACACATTCTCAGTAAAGACCCTTGGGAATCTTTTTTTTTTTTTTTTTTTTTTTAAAAAAAAAAAAAAAAAAAGGTAAGACTTTCCCCCCCCCCCCTTCTTTGTTATTCTTTTAATATTCAAGTTATTAAAGATTCATGTAGTGGGCTAGAGAAGTGGAGGATTTAAAATACTTTCAAAGTATAATTCAGGCAAACAAAGTAAGAGTCTTTCTTCTTTCAGTCATCTCAGTGATTAGTGGCAAAAGAAGATGAAAACATTGTTTGAGTAGATTTTATATATATGGAGGGCCTGAACAAAACTCTGGTAGTTCTCCTTACCTTAAATTCCTAGAATCACGGAAGTGTTACTAGAAAGGGACTTGTAGAAGGTTTTTTCCCAGTCTATTACTGAAAGAGTAGCTTAACTCATTCTCTGAAAGTGATAGCAATATTTGACAGATAAACTCAGTTTTGTAAGGAAAGTTGTTCATCCTCAATCCAAAAATATGAAAGAAGCTTTAAAACAACAGTGATCAACTTAAATGCAAACAGTATCTTTTACTGCTGAATTACAGTTTAATTTCACTCTACATAAATACCATACAATAGAATCCCTAGAATATATTCTGTAGACCATAAGAAAATGGAGGCACTGTGGAGGGAAAATCAATAGAAATAGGTTTCTAAAAAGTGAGAAGTTGACAAATACTGGCAAAATACATCTTCAAGTATGCTTTATTTGCAGGTGATTAAAAATATTTTTAGGCAAAAAACTAATCAATCTTATCCAGTACAAGGTAGAACATGATTTAGTGCCTGATGCCAGACAGACTGGAAAATGTGTAGATAGGACTGGTGATGCAGTTGTTGATGAATTACATGTGATTAAATGGCCCACATTCATATAGTAAAAAGACCTGATACATACATATGAGGAATTATAAGCACTTAATATTTTAACAATAAGCAGGAGATTTTGTACGAAAAACAAGGGACTCAAGGGGACAGGAAAGCTACAGACATCTTAGTAATATCAGAAGCCATCGACATTTCTTTTTAAAGACATTAACTTGCTCCTGCAAATTACTGCACTCTTGAGAATAGTATTTGCAATTTAAAACTTATCTAAAACATCACCAAAAGGTAACACTAATTCCTATATTTTTAAAATTATTTTGTATTAAGAATTTTGCAAAGAACTGAAATAGGGCATGGCCATGAAGCATGAATTATCCACCATTTCAGAGACTTTGCATTCATCACATTTAAATACTAGGTGTCTGATTTCTGAAAGTCTCATGCAAAATCCAGCTATAAAAACTCACAACAGAATATTTTCAAGGATAAAAAGCTAATGTTTTTTTAAGCTCTGACGGACATCCAGTTGTGAAGGTGAATTTCAAAACTAATGGTCTGCATTTTCAGAGGACATTCAAAAATATAATTGTTGAACTTCCTGTAAATGCCCAGCTCTTATCTACACTTTGCATGGAATATTTACCAAAGCTATAACATTGGACAGTTAATGGAATACATCACTGCCTAGAGTAGTGCCAGAGGTAACATCATTATCTTTCCATAACTGCATAATGAGAATTAAATAATCACAAAACAAATTCCTATTATGAAATGACTTTTTTTTTTCCTCATGTACAATATATATATTCATTTATATTGAATATAAGTCCAGTAATACTATCACAGTAATGTGCTGTAGTAGTCTTTCATAGTGAGAAAACTGCCCTAATCATCTTTAACATGCAAAGCTTGGAAGAACCAGAAATTCACAGTAAGTAATACAATTTGTATATGCATCTTCTGCCATCCTAAAGTTAACCAGAACACTCAATACTGTCGCTTATTTTTTTCCTATGTTTAACAAAAGCTACAGTTCTGTATACTGTACATTCACAGTGGGATCCCAGCCCCCTGTACTATCTGCAAGAAAGATCAGGTTACCACCCTCCATCAGAGTAAACATTCTAGTATTTAATATAATAATCTTGTGAACAGTTGTTCCTAGCTTGAAGCTCAGCAGTTCAAGACTTGATAAAATTCTCCTTCTCATCTCTCTGAAAGGTTTCTTGCTAACGCATTTTGTAGTCATTAGATACTGACATTTCACATAGCTGTCCTTTAAAATCCAAGTCTACTGTGAAATCCAGGTCACGCTGTAAAAAGATTTAAATGCAACATGTAAGTAAGACCATAAGTTTAGTGTATTAATTCAGTTATCATTGCTTGGGTTGAAAAGATCAGCAGATTCAAGAGATTCCTGCGGTGGTTTCTAACTTCTGTTTTTAAATGGTGCTAACACTGAGAAAACAGGCTGTAAGATGTGTAATAGCATTCACCACACAATCTGTGCTTAGGTCATATTTTTATACCCTTCCTGAGGTGGATTTAATGTCCTGGTTACTTCCTGGTTCAGGAAGCTTCTGACATGCTGCTATCATATGTATCCTATGGAAACTTTTGAAGGGCATCCCCTGTTGAGATTTTCTTAATTTAGGCTAAAGAGCTTTCCCACTAGGGGTTTTTCCAGGGTAGATGTAGTAAACTTCCTATTGTACAGAAGCCCTCAGTAATTTTTTACCTTATAATGACACATTTTTAGGGAAGAGGCACTACACAGTTCTACAGAAGGAGCTATGTCTATGCAAGCTTTTGAAAAACTTCATGTTTCGGAAGAACAAAGCATTAACAAATCCTTTTGAACCAAGGTGGCCTCTCTGTCTTACGACAACCATCAAGAGTACATTAATTTTAGCACCTGAATCTGCATTCAGGTGCTTACTGCTATGCAAACAAATTTGACATATTTTGTTCATTTTTTCCCCCAATGAAAATTGATACATTTAACCCAAAAGAAAATATTACAGTCCCCCTAGGACAACGTAAGGGTGGGGAATCAGATTATTTTCCTCTTGCAGCAAGTAGCTTCAGAGGTGAATGTGTTTGTTTTAATGCCAAGCTTATTTTGTGTTAACTTCTCCCTCTGTATCAACACTACCACACACAATCTGTATTTGGTATAAAAATGGAAAAGCAATGTAAAAAGGAGGACAATGAAATGTTAAGATTTGTTGCAGTTAAAAAATGCAGTTTTTCATCAATTACAACTGTATAGATGGATAACCAGGTTATTTTAACTGCTGTTTACTGTAATAGAAAATGAAGAGATGCTGCTCAAGATTTTTGGCAGAAAATAGTCCACTTTTTCTCCCAGAAGCTATAATTCTCATGTCTTGTTCTATCCAGCCCTAGGTTGTCTATCAGACTGTGTCTCACAGTCTCCTTACCATTTAAAAGAAGCACTAGAGGGATTCAGCCCGTATCAGAGAAACTGAGAAAGTTTTCAGCAGTCATGGTAGTGTGATATGCTGTAGCTTTAGTCTTAAATAAAGCATCTGTATTTTCTGTGGAATGGCATAATTTTTAAACAACGCTTTCACTCAGTTAGTGAGTTCAAGTACATTTGATCAGTGAGTTCATACAAGCATTCCTCTGAAACGTGCTACCTAATTTCCCGTCACACTGTCCTTGGGCACTGAGTGGCAAACCACTCAGTGATATCCCATAGATGTGGAACTGAAGTACTTTTGATCATCCTGTGTTGGCAGAAGGGATCTTTCCACTGACTTCAGTGGCAGCATAAAAATCCCCTTGCCTGCTTGCATCACAAAATGTGAGTCAAGCTGATTGCAGAGGGCAGCTAACTCAGTGATGTACTTGAATCCTTTTTCCCTTCCCATGCTAGCCTACTTGCAGGCTGACTTCTTTAACATTAGCACTGCTTTATCATTGCTGTCATCAGCTTTGGTGAACCTGTGACTGGAGCTCTTGCCAATAAACATGAATGCCTTTAGCACACTCATTGTTTTACTCTTATGCATTTTCTTAATTGCTGATCATAGTTGATGGTCAGTAGAGGTAGAATTAGGATTAGGGATGCTGACTTACCACATTTTTTGCATTTGGTTTCATGGATATAGTCCCATAGATTTCTTCCCCTCGTCTCACAGTTAAATAGTCCTCCAAGTAGAAGACAGTTTGCTTCCAGTGAGTATAAGGAGCATCAGGTGCTAAAATATATATATAAATATATATATATGGGTCTCACTTACTGAAATTTCTTAAATGCTTTGCAAATCAAATTATGACTTGGAAACAATTGGGAAAAATCCTTTCTTTTCACAGAATGCTTTATGTACTGTATTAGCAAATGTATTTTACAACATAATTCTATTGGCTGTCTGTGGGTTGTCTTCTAATTTTTACTGGAATATGTCAGCTGTGAATCACACCCAGCAAGAAGGATTCCACAAAAGGGGTTGCAGGGAAAGACAGACACATTTTTATGCTTTTCTTTCAACCCACACGTGTTCAAATTGGGAAAATCTTTACTAAGTGCTTTGAATTTCAGAAGTCTAAATTAGTTATAAAAACAATGATACAAAAGCATGAAGGAAAGGTTCATCAAATATTATTATTCACAAAGTTTCAGATGAAACATTTGACTAGTGATCCCAAAACAGCAAATTTTAGTTTTCATTATAGTTTTCAGGAGAACAGAGCGGATGAAAGGGCACTTGCACCTTGACCTCTTTTGGGACTATTAAAAGGCATTTTGGGCAATTTGCCAGGCATGGAAACTGGTCTAAATTAATTTCTAATCTTGCTTAGCAGAATTACTTTGATGACCCTTTGCTATTTCAGGCTTTTAATTTACTTCTTTGGTTCTATTTCTGATTTAAATTCCAATCTTTGAGCAGTGCCTAGTGAACTGGTATTGGTCACTTCTTGTTCCTACCATTCTTGCAGTCAAGAGCATCTAGGAACATCTAGGAACCTAAGAATAGCTGTAGGAACTCAAAGACTTCCTAGCCTGGCAAAAAAAGCCTCTGATAAATTTATTTTTCTTCTATTTGTATCCCCCAGTCACATGAGGTCACTGTATTGTATCATTATTAACACTGTTTAATAAAATAATAATCTTATTTAATTTCTACATCAATGTTTCAAAAAATTACTTGGCTTTGAAAATTTTTTGTGACTGGGGAAATGCTAATGCTTTTAAAAAAACTATTAGGACAGGAATTTTTAACTGTTTTCTAAAATTCTAGAATCAGAAGACTGATAAAAACCAACTTTTTTCAAAAACTGTGCTGGCAAATAGTTATCTTCTTAGACAGGTAATTTCTGTTGTCTGTGTGTCCAGACATTTCTAATGACTGTTAATCTCAATTGTTAAATGAGATATCATCTTGTAAGAGTTCAGATCCAGACTGTTTACTATTTGGACACAGCTGCATAAAATTTCTAGCTGAAAACATGTTAGACCAAAACGAAATTGAATTTAGAGTCTTAATCACAACTGCCGCCTTGTACACAAACATGTAGTTGTACACATGCCCCTGTGCAGGGCCATGCTCCCCAGAAAAGCCTGACATGACTGGAAGCTTGTCCTCCATGAACAGGGTGGGGGTGTGTATAATGCAGGCACAGGTCTCCAAGTCCACCCCAAATTACACACTTATTCATAATTTATATAATACATATCAGTGAACTGGCATTTTGACATGTCCTACAAACTGGTGTACTTTACTGAATTCACTGCAGCTTCGCCAACAGACACCAGGTGAGAATCTTTACCAGTCTTCTAGACAGTGGTGACCCTCAGCAGTAGATGGCCAAACAACCTTTTTATGGAGCAATTCTTCTGCACCTACCTTATCATGATAAACTGAGCAGAGGCAGAGAAACACTTCACCCTCCTGTCCACAGGGTGAGGTTTTTGCATTTATTGCAAGACTCTTTGGTTTATTCAGTCTGGTAAACAATGCCTTAAGGGAATGGAGTTATTCTTTCAAATATCTGTTCACCAAGGCAAGTTAGACTTTCAAATCTGGGTTGTTAGATACGACTCACATAATCAGTATGTGTGTTGTTATAGCTTGGAAAATAAACGGGAGTTTTGTTCTAGACTCTGGGGCAAGCAAGAGCTTTGTTGAATTTCAGATCCGGGGAAAACTCGGATGCAGAGCTGCTATCTCTCTCTGAGCCAATAATTCTCTCTAATCTGAGAAACTTGACACAGGATTTAGATATAACTGGTGAGGGACATAAATTCACAGGTCATAATTCCTGCTGAGCTCTAAGCTTGATAGCCATTGTGAAATTCTGCCTCTGTTTCCACAGAATTCCTATAAGAAGTTGTCCTTTCCCCATCCTGCTCACCTCTCCCCAAATTAAAATAGCTTTTTTCACTGAAATTCAAATGTGGTGGTACATTAAACCTTCCTGTACCATCTAAACATCAGCACTGAGAGACTGATAGCAACATAAATGAAATTAAAATTAAAAGAAATACAGATTACCTGTAGAAAATCCCATCTTCTTGTGGCACTTCGTAAATTCAATATTAAAATAGGTGACCAAGGCATGAATGTAATCATTGCGCTGAATTTGGAGGCAGAATGCAGAAGTAAATTCCAATTCTTCAGTCTTCACTGTATAAATATCTACTTCCTGTTTTGAGGAGAAAGAAATGACATTTACATGCAGATGTCTGTGACTCTCAGGTATGTATTAAATGAGACACTTTAGTAGCTCGTTTAATGAGCAGACACAAAGATGACTGGCAGCCTTTTAACACTGTAAGAAATCAGAGGTATATTCTAATATATCAAATCATGAGCAAATGATCCAGTTATCTGACTAAGCTGACAGAGAGGACACTCACAAAAGACTCTGTGTTCTTGGGAATAGCAGGGAGCAGCTGTAGGAGCTGGGGAAAACCAGGGTAAAAAGGTGCTCTGATAAATATAGGTAGATGTTGAAATGGAGATATAGGTCCAGTTCAAAGACCTTTCATCATCAGGGACTGTCAGTATGAGGAAGCTGGGTTTTTAATAAAACTAAGCTTATTTCTTTTTGCATCTCTGGAAAGGAAAGTGATTTGACTGTGTCAAGCAGTCAAAACATTTGAGGCATGAGAAGGGCCTGCTTTTTGATGGTGATGCTTTCTAGTCCTGTGTCAGGTACCTGACTCCAAACAGTGAGCACAGGGATCTTTCTCTTGAATGAGACAGAAGCAAATTATGTCAATCATTCTGTGGCTTGACTGCAGCAGTTGGAAGCGACAATGTAGTCTTCAGGATTGCTCATTTCCATCAATATTTAAATCGCACTGTTCAAGGCTTAAACTGTTTTTTTCAGATGGATCTGATTTTCCCAGCTAGGTACTGCTTTTATCTGGGTTGTTTCCAAAAGTTGTAGTGATGATAGGGAGGATGGTAAGTCTGAAGTACTATTCTAATGCTGTGGGAAATGTTTCCCATGCACTTTCCGGTATCTTCATTGCTCATTCTCATTGCTGTGGTACCCTTATTGCTCATGCATACAGGGAAACAGAATTTTTGTAGGCAGAAATCCAGATTTTCTCTACTCTACCAGCTGAAGTCAGGAATTGTGTCTCTGACCTCACCAGCATTTCTTAAGACTTGCACTGCAAAAATGGAGAACAGAGTTGAGACTGCCCATTAGAGGGCTCTTTTAGCTTCTTTTAGGGCACATTAGAGGGCTCTTGTAGAAATTGCCTTCTGTAATCTAAGGTAAGACTGCAAAAAGAGACATAGAAAGATGCAGCCATATTTCAGTTACTGAGGTCTTTTCATGGATCAAATATGTGTTTCTGAGACTTGGAAAACTCATGGGAAGATGATTTTAGCAAGCCATAGCTTTGGCCTGTCTGGTTAACATTATTGTTCAAGAACAGCTTGAACATAATGAAAATTATTCTACTGCATTGCAATGACACCCTGAGGCACTAGTGTTTACCAGTGACCTATGCATATAATTGGTCATTTAAAGCTGTGAAAACCTTAAAATGTTTTTGGTTTTTCCCCCTCAGAAGAGGGTAAGAAAAAAAGCATGGTAGGAATAAGAACTTCTGAGGTCTCCTGGCAGAGTTCCATAGCAGCCTGCAAAATTTGCTTTGCCAAGCTAAACTGGACTGGTGGGTGATAGCTGAAGACTTCTGTAGTTTTTGGTCTTTTTAGTGATCTCACTGTGGGGAAAGTGGGACTTAAGTCTAGTCTAGTGGTGAGGCACATAAAAGGGAACTAGCTCCCTCTCTCTGAGCTGTGTTGGCTGTGCAGGGTAAAGTGGAATCAAAAGCACTAAGATATATTTTCAATAGAGAAGTCAGTAGAAATTTCTCAAAAATATTGAACAGATGTCCTGAAGAAACTGTTGGTCACATTTGCAGTCCTTTTTATAAGGTCAGAAACATAGCTTTTTTACAATGCAAGGTAGGAGACAAAAGTGGGGACTTTTTTATTAATTAATACAATTCTGAGGATGGTCAAGTCTGGTTTTGGTGATATCTTTGAATTTTACTCTGGCAACTGCACGCTCTTATATAAAATGGCAACACTTATTACAGGTAACTACACAGGAGACAAATGATACAAATTGGAGTTAAGGCTGCTTCTAGAGTGCCATGGCACCTCTTTTCTGATCTCCTTTCCAGACAGTCCGGTTACTCAGCTAGGATTTTGTGAGCATGGAAATAAGATAAACATGGAAATCTCAGTGGATGTCTAGGTTTGGTGGAGTTCTTTCAGGGTTTTTGTTTGTTTGTTTGTTTGTTTTTGGATCAGAGAAGAAAACACAACTGTTTTACTTAGTAAGAAACAAACTTTTCCATTTTTTTTTGTCAGTGTTACTGAAAGCAGTAGGCCCTCAGCAGGACACCTGTACACTTATTCCTGTGTTCTCTTATTGATTCTGCTGGTTTGAAGATGTTTTGTCCTCGCTAGTCTCCCTGGCTGATTTGGTATGGAAGTTAAACAGAGGACTCCCATTTGGCAGGACAATTCCTGTGCCCCTCAGATATATTTAAGAGATCACGCAAAAAAGAATGGCTCCCATAGCAGAGAAGATGCTGCACTCCCTGCATTCACCCCTAGTGCATGTGGCCTAGTGCCTAAAGTTCCTTAAAGCATTCAGGACTTGGGTTACATCCAGTTTCTGAGGAGTAAAAAAAGATTAAATTTTACTCAAGTCTCCAGCATATCAGATAAGTGCCATGGCTACACAGCATGCACAGTTGATGTCTTATTTTGCTGATTTTGTAGAACCATTCAGAGCATCTAAATTGGGAATTGAAATAACTGCAGAAGCACAAGACTCTGACTGGTCTCTGAGGAATGTATCTAGTGACTGGTACATCCACTGACTAATGTAGAGAGAACCCAGACTCATCTGGTAGCCACCCTAAATTAGCTGACTTTGGGTTGAATACAACCCTAAAAATCCATCTGTGAATCTAATATGAACAAGCTGTGCTATTCAAAAGTGCTGTAATAAAACATTTGAATAATTAAACATTATGGCTTTGTTTATTCTCAAATGTTTTCTTAGGCTAATATTATTCTCTGAATTCACAAATATTTTCAGGATGAAAGAAATGCATTTTATATAAATAAACCATGTGCAAAAGTAAATTAAATTTAAAAATACATAGCTACAGAGTCTGTTTTTCCTTCTTCCATATTGCTATCTTGAACATAAACCTCCCTCCTTCATGCTTTTCATTGACAATTTTCTCTTTGCTTAGTGAACAGTTTGTGAGATTCGTGACTGATTCCGGAATGGAGGCTGGTTTGTGCTTGTGTACTTACTACCTGCTGCTCTCATGGTGCCTCTACATGGTACAGCACTATTCAGTTTATGGACAAAAGATGTCAAAACTAAATATAAAACATGAAAAGAAACACTTTGAAAATTGTTGTCTGTCATCTTAAACCAAATTACTTTCAAAGACCTTCTAAATAAAGTGTTGGATTTGCACTTCAATTAATGGTGTGCAGCTTTTTATTCCAGAACAGCCAACCCATTTTGCTCCCTGATCTCTTTCTCTCTGGACATATTTCATAGAGTCTAAATAGCTGTTTCTTTTGTGTGTGCTGCAATTCTAAATTGCTCTGGTTGAGGCTGTTTTCAGGCACAGCCATCTTGTGTTCCCCTCAGTGCAGATGGACTGTGCATGCATATGTACTCATCAAGAGTTTCTGCTTCTGTTCCTTTTTGCTGCTTTCAGTAAGGGTTTTGCAGACTGGAGGCATGGCCCTCCCTTTTGCATATGGGAATATTTAATGCTGTGTTTGTTACTGGCAAGAAGTGAAAGGGAAAAGTTAGAACTGACTCTTTGGGATGAGCTCTTAAGATCCATGGACCTGGTACTACCACTGCCATTGATGCTGACAGCCTTGCTCATGACAGTTGTCCCATATGAGGAGTATTCCTTCACGTGAAGGGAATTTTAAAGCTTTCAAGTGTTCCTGCAGGCAGTTCCTTCATTGTTAACATGATCTTGTGAACAGGGATTAGTGACCTTTCTGTCTCATGTAGAGCAGGGTACCAGTTAACCTCTGGATGCAGATGTTGGGGCTGAGAGATAACAGTAACATTCTATATAAGACTAAGAATTAGGAAGTTAGAGAAATAAATTGAGTTCCAATTCTGATCAGATGTTCTGGAGTTAATTATTTATTTCATCATCAGTTCAGAAATGATGCTTCAGACTTTCTTACTGCAAACAGAATGATTTACCCCTTCTCCTCAGCAGCATTCAATCAGTAATTTCCAACCTCTATTTAAAAAAAGGCAGGGCAATTCAAATTCATATCTAAGTATACCACATTTCTCTTTATCCAGTATTTGCACATGTGAAACTTGCAAAAATCTAGAGCCTGCAGATATAACCAGATGAGTAGAGATCCAAGGAGCATCTTACTTTTGGGAATTCCATAAGAAATCAAGGTACCAATGTTCATGCTCAGGTCACGTGACAGTACTGAGCATGTGAAACATGCAAGAACTGACTAATTCAAAACCGCACAATTTTCCTTCTTAGTGTCACAGCATTCTGCAATGATGGCTTCTGCAGCTGGTTCAAAGCATGCAGAGACAGTAGCAAAACATAAGCAGCAGGTCCCAAAAGAGCCAGTTAGGTGTAAACATTTATAATTAGGTGTATTCAGAATTACCAAACCTTTATTAAGCAGGCGTTGGTCACCACTTGCTTTGGATCTACTATGTCCACCAAGGGCTCCTTCATGGCAACATCCCTAATACAGGTCATGTCAAAGCCGTACACATTCTCCCACCCTGTCAATGCAAATGGATTTTTCAAGGTTAGCAGCAATAATAGAAAATATTCTTTGCTTCTCAAAGCATTTTTCTTTTGAAAGAATTTCTACCATCCCCTAATTTTTGGATGTCTCCTTCAGCTCTTCGCTCCCTGCCCCAGCTGTCTATGTCATCACTGCTATTTCACAGATAATGCAGTTGTGGCAAAATAAGCCCTCAATGTACATATTTGAACAAGTGACCCTTATTTTTTGGTGTCTCCAAAATTGTGTTACATGAGATTTGTCAATGATTTTTGTGGCTTTAGACGCTTGTGATTGTTGCCCAAAATCATCTGATGTCAGGCTGAGTGCTGGGAATAGCTGTTAGGGATTCTATCCTTTCCTATCCATTCTGCTCAATACTTACTTCCCCCCCTGCCCTCCTCCCCAGCTCCATAGATTGCCACTCATTTGGCAGTTTACATGCTCCTTTGATTATTTAAGTAGTTTTAGTTTCAGCAAGTGAATTACTGGCAGAAGTAGAATTGCAGGTGTGTTTCAATAATTGGGACTCCAAGCTTTAATCTGCACATACATCATGACAGAAAAGCAAAAGGTTCACTTTGAAAAGATTTAAAAGTCATGCCAATCCTCAGTATTTGAATTGTTCTTCTGATTGTTTCAATAGATGCTGAGGTTCTTTTGCACAAAATGGAAACATTGAAAAATGGAAAAGTACACTGGCTTTGCTTTTAAGGTTGCTTAACAAAGTGAAAACAAGAACCTTCAAACAAGTGAAATCATAGTCTTATGAAGCATGTAAGTCAAGGTCCATCCAGTGCTTCATCTCAAAATCTAAACTGAATACTGGGAGTGCTTTAAAAAATGGCTTGAACAAAAAACAAAGTAAATAGATAAACACATTTGTGAGCATGTTTGAAATGTCTCATTTTTTTCAGAGCGTAGTATTTGAGCTACTGGGGTTTCCAGAGGAGTATGACTGAAAATGTAATGTGATATAAAAGTCTTCATACTCTGAAACTGGAAAAAACATGGACATTAATGATTCTTTGATATCTCTAATATTATCTCTTTATTGGGTTGTGAGTTTGTCAACATTTTCAGGGGAGCTGAAACTTTTGTTTCAGGCATCATGAGCATGTGAGAACTTCGGATTACATTTATAAAAGTCATATATTTTTATGTGATTACTCAGAAAAGATTAACTAGGAAGCCCTGAAGAAACAATTGATTAATTTTTTATTTATTATTGGAGGCCTCCATAATTTACTGCACTTCAGCCTAGGTGGGATACCTTTGAAATATGTGGCCCAATCTGCCTTGGGCAGAGAGTTGTCATGGGAGGTAAAAAATAAAGTTATATGTTTTACATTTTGCAGTGAATCAGAGTAATTGCCTGTAGTAATCAGAAGTTAGATTTTTTTAGAAACCGCATATTGCAATATTTCTTGATCAATATAATGGTTCTTGAACGCCCTTTAAAATGCTCAGCCCCATATCTCATATGAGGGCAAGACTCTATCCTTCTTAAGGAGACACCAACAAGGATTTATAAATGGAAAGGAGAGACAAGATGGTGGTGTAGATATAGTGAGACAGAAATAACTAAAGACACAGAGGTATACAAGGTAAGGGGGAGGAGGTGAAATCAGAAAATAAAGTGTCTTAAAGGAAAACATTTTAGAAGGGGAAAAAATGACTTGAAACAATTTTTCAAATGGCTGAAAATGGAACTATTTGAAAACAGATGTATTGTCTGTGAGAAAAGAAAGACTCAAGGTCTAGAAATGAAGGAGTTCAAAAGCAAAGTGAAAGATTTTAGACCAAAATGGTTCTGATTCCTTTACAGAATGGATGCCCCATACATCCATTTGAATTTGTATATTTTGTGAGGATTTTAACTGTCAAGGTCATCACATAGCCAAGGAGAAAAATCTAGGCTGTGCTTGAGGAAGAGATATAATCCTTCCTGGCACCTACAGAGACTTCTTGTCACCACCCCACTGCACTGGGCTTGCTTTTGACCCAAAATAGCAATTTTGATCAACTGGCAGTTCTGTGTATTAGCACTGAATCTGATTACAGAAACACCAAGCCTTCTTTTCTGGGAGGAGGTGAGAGTCAAGGAATGAGGAGTTAGTTAGGCATTTTTATTTAAAGGCTGTCTGAACCCACTAATATAACCCTAACTTTCACATATATCTTTGGTTATTAAATCTGCTTAGGAAGCTCATGTTTGGTTTTTTTTTCCATAATGGAAAATACCTTTAAGTGAAACTACCCAGCTCTGAAAAATAAATAAAATCAAAAAATGTTGAAAGGAAAAGAAGAATGAAATAATGTAAAACTTGTTAATTTGATCACAGCAGGAGCCTGGACCAGGTCACTTGTAGATGCCACTAACAGCACCATGATACTTCAAGGAAACTCTCCCACCATTCTGAAAACCCAAAGTTAGAACCCTTTTTTTAACATATAAGTAAAATTTAAATTTCTGATCCTTATTTTTAGTTTTAAAATTCTCACATAAAATGTTTGAAAAAAAGTATTACATGTTCTAGGGTTTTTTCTTCTTGACAAGCCATCATGGAAATATAATTTTTTTCTAGGTTTATTTCTTCACATGTACAATTAATTTGCATCTTACTTGCTTTTTTGTTATGATAAAACCAAAAATAAGGGCCTGGATGGCAAAAGAATATTACTGGGTTTTGTGGCTGTTATGATGGATTATATATTTATCAAAAAAACCAACAAAACTAAATCTCCTATAATCCACATTTTAAATATAGCTAGAGGTATTAATGTAACTCTAGGCAAAGTCTTCATCAATTTATACATGCATCTTTCCTTTGAGCACTTTAAATTACTGCAAATTTCCTGAATTTATCAGCAGACCAACATTTTCTCAGAGTTCACATTTATACTGGAATTCTGGCCTGCAAAGAGATTACAGCAGGCTACTGGAAAGGAAATATTTTAGGGAAATATTTTAGGAAATAGCCACAGAAAAGTGTTATGGCAGGTGCTTACTCACAGTGAATTTTGAAGTCCTTGTACTGTCTGTCTTCAATTGCTACCACGTACAAAGCAGCTCGGTCTGGAAACATTAGCCCTCCAGGTTTCTGTTGATGAATTGTGGGGAAATGGATCTCGTAATCTATTCACCTGACAAAGACATCACATTTTGAACTGCACATACAAAAACCAGACAAGCACCCCTTGCATGCCTTTATTGTTTTCCTTCAGATTGTCACACCAGCTTTGACCTTGCAGCCTGTGGCAACGTCATTAGACAGTGTCTACACAACCTTCGCTGGCCAGCACTTAATCAAAAGCAAAGCTCTTTCCCTTTGTTATCTCCTCATTAAAGCCTAAGAAATGGCACTTGGAGATGTGATTGTGTCTTGTTATAGCGACAGTAGGGAAGGGAAAGCTTGGAGTCAGGGAATAAATGGTGATTGCTCCAGCAAAGAGCACGACATGCAGAGCACCTACCAGCCACTTGTCTCGTGCGAAGATGACTGTGTTTAACATTGACTCATAGAACAGACAGTAACCCATCCACTCGCTGATGATGATGTCTACTTGATCCACAGGTAATTCAACTTCTTCCACTTTACCTTTAAATATTGTGATTACTGAAAAAAGAATCCAAAGAAATACATTTCACATAATAAAACACCTGACTAAGATCCTCACTGGTGAATGTCAGGCTGACCTTTTCAATATGATTCTCTTCTTGAATGCCTGTCAATAAGGCATGACTCCATGTGACTCAATGCAATTCACACTTTTCAAAAACTATTCACAGCAAGCAGAATAAATAGAATTTTTAGTATCAGTATAAAAGGAAAAAACACCAACCCAAAATCCAAAGGCCAAACAAAAAAACCTCACCATGTCTAAAAACAACAGAAAAATAGGCCTTACCTGGTTACCTGTATGATCTCATTTTACAATGCCCTTTGGAATTTGGCAGATTTTTAGATCATTGACCAAGTAAGGCAAAGAATCCACTTAGAAGCCTTTAGACATCCCTGCAGGTTTACACAGTATTGTTTAAATGGTGGGCCAGTTAACAGTTGTAACAAAAAATTTTGTTTTAGGACCACTACACAAGTCACCAATCACTACTGCTTTAAAAAAAAATAAATTCCTATTTACAAATGTATTTTCAACTTGCGCTAAATAATTTTCAGCATGTGTTTTTCTGCTGTTTATACTGTTTGTTGCAGTGGATAAAGTCTCATGGTTCTGGATTCTTCCTTGACAAGGTAACAGATGCACTTATTAGTGCATAATAAGGTGAATAATTAGTGAATTAGTATAATAATAAGAATAAGGTGAATATTCTACATTCCATTACTAATTGATAAGATTACTCCACTACTCTTAATTAATGGCAATTTTTAATGATAGCAGTTTTTATTGATGAAATGGTCAACATTCAGTTTCAGAAAAATGAAGGTAATTTAATTTAATTTAATTTAGCTAGAACTAGGTTAGCTAGCTGAGTGTGGAAGTGTGGGTTGAGTGATTTTTAGAACTCAGCCCAGGGAAAAGGTTTTGTCTTTCTCAAATACATGCAGTACTAGTATTACTCTAACAAGATGTGGGCACTTCATTTGCATAGCAAATTTTTAATCCAGATTGGCCCCCTAAGAAATTGGGAACACTCTGACTTAGACCAGTACCACAGAGTATCAGCTGATAAGAGCAACCTGACTGGAAAAGAGCAGAGTTCTCTTCTCTTTTTCATTATTTAAACACATTTCTTTCACGGAAATTCAACAGTTAATCTGCTGTTGTATTGAAGACTCTTCATGTCTATAAGTTCTAGCCATGAGTTCTCTTTAGTTCTCTTTTCTCCCAAGAACTTTCACTGCCCCAATTCTTTTGGAGTGAATTTTAGCACTGTTGACAGCTGCCAGTGTGACACACCTGATGTTGAAGCCCCCTGTTTACACCTAGAACAGTCACAGTGTAAGCAGCAGCAGCAGCAGCAGCAGCAGCAGGAGCAGCAGGAGCAGCAGCAGCAGCAGCAGCACTGGCTCCTCTCACCTCCCTTCACTTCATAAGGCATCATGTGGGAACAGACTGTGCTGTCCCCAAATGTATTGCATGTGTCTGTTCTGGAAACAGTGGGTTTCCTCTTGGATCAGCCCCTTTTGCTGACACTGCATTTCTCAAAACATTTAAGGGGGGAAAAAGAGGAAAATTTCCACAAGAAACAAGATCCTTTGGTTCAGTATCCTTTATTTTATTTATTAAAATAAAAGTCAACATTTTATTTTATTAAAATAAAAGGGTCAGTGTAGAGTATGAGAGTGTAAATGTTGGTTCAAGTGTGCAGACCAAACTGAAGTCAGGCAGACTGCTGCACCTGTCCTGCCGAGTCTCCTCCCAAAGGGAGGGGGCTCTACTTCTGCCTCCACAGTTTTCCAGTGACTTTCTCCTTGTAGAAACAGGAGGAAAAAGAAGAGATAAATACCTTCTGCACCCTCTGGAGTGCACTGGAACTTTCTAATTTATTCTGACAATGGTCCCCTCACACGCAATTCCTGCTGCTGGAAATCCAAATGCAAATTGATTTGTGGTGTGCTATTTGCGTCTTTAGCGGATGAAAGCTGTTCTGGGAACATACAGCCTCTGCATCCAAGGTTCAGGACAACCAAGGAGGTCACACCTCACTGCTTCAGTGCCTTATCCCTGCTGTGGAGAAGAGTATTTTCTAGTCCTTTGCTTCCTCCTTTTCCTGAAACAAGAGTTGCATATGCTGGCTGGCCTCTTGTATCCCACGTCACTGCTGTTTCACACCACAACACTTGAATGCCCGTGATGTACAATAAATATTCCTCCCAAAGAGCTCGGGGTTAGCCAGAAACTGCCAGTGACAGCAATAAAAATTAGAACAGATCTGAACCAGAACAGAAACACATTCCTGCGCATGTGCAGGCAGAGCATCAGCACAGACACAGCTAAAAGTGGGGGCACTTGGTACAGCCCAGCCATGACCTGCTCTGCAGCAAAGGCAAGCTCTTCACAAAAAAGCACTTTTAAACAGGAGCTGTCTCACGGCCTCAGTTAAAAAAAGACTGATTTTTTAGGATGCTACAAAGATATCTTGTGTGCTGTGATTTGGAGGAGGACTGAAGGCATGAAATAGAACTTGTTGGGGATTATTTTGTGCTAAGGATTTTCAGTAGCTTGGGGTTACTTCTGGGTTGTTTTTTTTTTGATTGGTTGTTTTTTGTTGGTTTTTTTTTGTTGGTTTTTTTCACAATTTAGTTTCCACATACTTGGAAATTTCATCGGCTTTCTTTTCAAGCAAAAAATAAGTTTTATATGATACTTTTATTTTATGATTTGAACATTTTCATTTGTGTATCATTTGTGAGTGTGTATTTTGATAAGGTTTTGAAAAAAGTGTTTTCTTAAAGTGGGGAGTCAGACAACTTAGTGAAAAATTTTTGCTTTAAACCTTATTTCAATTTGAATGCCAGTGAGTATGTTTGTATTTCTATTCTGCTTAGAGAGGTGGAATTCAAACGGCAGAATTAATTTGATAAGTTCAGTTCTAATATAGGGTCTTCCTTCTGCTTTGCTAAATCAAATTTCCCATTTTTACTTCCCATATTTACTTCTTTTGTCTCTGGTAAATACAGAAGTAATTCCTGTAAGGAATTGTTGTAGTGCCTAGAATGAGGTGTTTAGTTTTGTATTTGCATAAGTAAATTCTGCAAAACTACCATTTACATGTAAAGCACACAACAGAAATTAATCAGAAAAAATAAAACTGTCATCTTCTCTTTCTCCTGAAAAAAAAAAAATTATATGTGTCTTACTGTTGTCCAAGTGGTTGGCCTTGATAATTTTTTCTGAGTAGTCAGATATACTTGAGCATTCAATCTAGGAAAAAAGAAAAAAAGAGAAGCAAGATAAAGAGCAATTTACCTTTTAAAGAGCTCAGCTATGTGAATGAAAACAATATCTACTGAAGGCAGCAGAGACTCTACAGAGTATGTAACCATTGATAAAGAGTAAATCAAAGCTGTGGGGAGGATCATAATTATTGATATTTTAATATTTAAATTGCAGTCTGTGTCTGAGTTAAACTGGCTCTCATAGAAAAAGATTGCTTTTAAAATTGTTGAAATGTGATAAAAAAGAGGTTCTACCTAAAAAATGTACATAATTTATTAATAGTATTTCATTTATTCCTGCTACTTTAGAATATTGCTTCCTCCCTCACAAAAAATCTGATGAATGGAATGAATTAGGATGATGCTACATTTACATATGTATTTTAAAACAACATACATTGAAACTTTGTGAATAATATTAAAATTCAAAATGCCAGTACTGGTCTATGCCAAGAAGCAATTGTTTTCTATGTGAAAAATCTATATTCTTTAGCAAAGCTGTTATTCCAAAAGAATTCAGGCATTTAACACATAAGAAATTACTGAAACTTTCTATTTACAAGAACATCCAGATCTGCATGTCTTTTTCTGTGACCAGTTCTGTGCTTTTTCTAGGAAAAGAATTACAGAGTGCCTCCTAGTTTTAGATATGCCCTTAAACTTGGCAAAATCTGTGTACTAGCACAAAAGCATGTTTGCAATGACCTTTAATGTCTTTTAGACAAAAACTGCATTCCATGAATCTCTCTGGGTTTTGTGCCCCTTGAAAATCATGCTGGCCAAAGTTGCTTGTACTCCTGAATCCGTTCCTAATTTACCTCTTCCAAATTTGGCATTAAACAGATGATACTACTTTGCATAATCCTTGTCTCTCTAATTCCCCTATGGGAATGTCAAATAGAACTATATTATCTCTAATGAAGTGGTTTATACATCCAGTGAATCCCATTTAATCTCTAAAAGCTAAATTGTGCTTGACCTCTGTGATAGCACTCACAGATGGCAGGACACCAGATGCAAGGACACAGAAATTCTTTATTGTTTTTATATTGTGCATGAAACAGATATAATAGCAGTCATAATATCAATCCCAGTCCCCATGGGAACACATTGATTCATCTTGCCTGTGGATGTAAACCATTCCTAAAATGTCTGGCTCAATGGCCTGAGCAAAAACCAAAACTGGCTTGTGGAAAGGAACACCTGAGTGCCAGTCCAGAGAGTTCAAGGAAGAAATCCTTTGTGGTGAGCACCATCCTTTTGCTCCATCCAGGTTCTTCCCTTACTGTAAACGGTATAGACTGTATGCCCTGTCTATAGTTACTGCCAGCATACTAACTTTCCCTGTCTTTATCTGTCTGGTATTATCAATTCCATTGCCCATTTTGGATGCTTTTTAAATAAAGCAGGCACATGTAGGTGTTTGGAGGTTGCTTTCCAAACTTCCTAAAGAACAAGGTGCAAAGAAATGAAAAGCTCTCTCTCAAGAATGACAACAAGTTTCCAAAAATCTGCTTCAGACGCAAAGAAGCAAAAGAATAAAAAACCCCAACACTTAAATGTTTCATGAAGGAATACATATTTCAGAAAATAAACTTGCTTTATGGTGGCTAAAACTGTTCATCTGCATTTTGACTTGGACTCTATACTGTGGTTGAATTTTATTTTAAAAAGCAACTCATTTCAGAAAAAAGGAAACTGAATTCTGTAGGTGAAGAAATAGAGGTAAAATCAGTGTTGTCAGGGTTTTTCTCTCAGTTTTCTTTCAAGTCAGTGATCTGTTCAAACCTGTCCTATTTTGCAAAACATTTGGATTTTATGAAAAGCGCAGGTTCCAATAAAATAAGTCTGTACCTGAATTTATAATCACAGAATCATAGGATGGTTTGGGCTTGAGGAGATGTTCAAAGGATTGCCCTGATTCAAGTGAAGGATCCTGTTCCTGGCCATGTTGAAAATCAGGAGGTTGACATAGGCCCACCTCTCAAGCTGGACAAGATTCCTGTGTGATGTATTTTCCCTCAAGTGTATCAGCTGCACAAAACAGTTATGTGTCATTTGCAAACTTGCTGAGAGTGAACTCAATCCCACTATCTATTGTCCTTAATGAAGATATTAAATAGTAGTGGTCCCAGCATGGACCCTTGAGTTGCTTTAGCTGTATCTGGTCCTGTGTGTGTATATTCATCTCTGCTCTCATTTTACTTCTCAATCTTCAATCTACTGCTGCAAATGTTTCCTCTTTTGCTGTGGTCTCTTGCTGAAACAGTCACAAGATTCCCAGATTTCCCCTGGGCTGTGTCCTCATCACCACCTTTTTATACAAAGCAGCTGACATCTAACATCAGCCTTCATTTTCTGTGTCTGTTTAACTCCTTCTTCCCTGCACTGTCTTGTTTGTCTGAAAATATCATGGAATTCAGATAGTTCTACTGCAGTGACTGTCCTGAATTTTGTATGACTAAATGCAGCGGATGAACCAAGGCTTCAAGGGATATTTTATGTGTTTTTGTGTCCCTCACTGACCCCTCCCAAGCCCCATGTGCCAATTCTTTCTCTACATTTCTTACAACAGCTCTCCCTTTAGATGAACGTCACTGCATGGCACATTGGTACCCTCCCACATGGGTTAGGGCTCAGAGCAGGTGAAAAAAGAAGAGAAAATGAAGGGGCTGGTTCTGTTCAGGTTGTAGAAGAGATGCCCCCTAATCCAATAGCAATCTAAAAGTATCCCAAAAGGGCTTGCAAAGAAAATAAAGTAAAACTCTTTTCTGAAATGCACAGGGACAAGACAAAAGTCAGTAATCATGAGCAGTGGCAAGGGAAAATCCTGCTCATTGTAGGCCTGGAATAGGTGCTGAGGGAGTATTTAGAGTCTCCATACTTGGAGATTTTCCAAATTGGACTGGACATGTCCTTGGCCAACTTGCTACAGCTTTAAGTTAATGATTCTATGATTTACATCTCTTGAAGGCCCAGAGATAATTCTAGCAGTTGGTTTAGGTAATGGCAGGGAATAAGTTCCAACAGTGAATAAGAAGGGATAAGAAGAACCAGACAGAGCAGTGGATGAATTTGAACCTGAAGAGGGAAAGTGTGAGTAAGAGGAGAATGATTTCTGTAGTTGAAAAATCATCACTCTGCATTTGTCAACAGTTCCCACATCACGCTATTTGAAAAATCACATTTAACTGTAGAGAAGAAACTGGAACATCACAGCTCTGTGTAATAACTCATGGCAAATGTTTGCTTTTTAAATGGAACACTCACAGTTTCCAATGGCAAATATGACCAATAAATTCTCAATTTGACTAGAAGATTGCCACTGCTAGATCTCTGAAATGGCTGCTTGTCTAACACAAATGCACTCTGTAGCTTGCTGTGCACAGGGTTCACGGTGAGACAGCTCATCTGACAAGAAGGTTGAAATGCTTTGGCTGTAGCAGAAGAGTTTCACACCTAAGGGAGTTCCTCTGAGAGCTAAGTTCCATGGATAGCCCACCCACCAGCTTCAGTGATGAACAGTCCACGGGTGAGCTGGCACTGGTGTGTCACTGAGTTTAAAAAAGGTGTGAGGTAAAGCCTGAACTCTAAAGAAGTCCAAAGGGACCTCCCCACACATAAAAAAACCCAAAAAGCCAAACAAAAAACTCCCCCAAAAACAAACAAACAAACAACCCCCCCCAAGAAAAAACCAACAAAAAATCCCCACCAACTCAACAACAAACATGTGGAAAAGTATTTACTTTTCTTTTACTTGGTGAATTTTCTGCCAGTGAGCTGGCTCACTGTAGAATCAGATAGGCACCAGTGCCAGCACAAGGGAGGGAGGAAGACCATATGGCCAGGGATCTGAGAGATAGGAAGGTGGGAGCACAGCATCATCATTTTGTATATGCTTATACTTCTAGAGCACTGCAACATCTTTGTGTGAGACCTGCATTTCTGCATTGAAGAAAGCTGTGGGTTTATCCTCCCTGAGGCTTTGAGGTAATAAATCATAATAATAAGTAATACTTGTTTTACAAGAAAATACATTCTAACTGCCAGTCTGGGGCTTAAACTCCAAAACTTTTTCAGCACCTTTTGATTTCAGCTATCTATAGTTTCACGCTCTGGTCTGATATTCAAATGAGATATTCAGAAGTAACACTGGATTTTGAAAATGTAAGCCTGAGAATTGAAATGGCATTTCATGTATCATTACCAGTCATAAAGACACACGGTTTGGGTGCTTAGTGACATCAGTGTCTTCAAATGCACAGATGTACCCAATTAAGTTTTAGTAAACAATTTTGTTGAAGTACACTGAGAAATGGATCTATTTCCCCTTTTCTACATTGCACTGTGTCTTCAGGGCAAACAGAAGTCCAAAGCAAAAAGAAACTGCATTTGTCATTTTAGAGTTGGTACAAATAAGTTTGAATATACTTAGTAAGCAAATCCATGCTCTCTGTAATGACTTCTCTGCAGAGAACAGCACATTAATGCTCCTAAAGTTCAATGTATTTAAGGTAATAATTTCCTTCTGCCTCTGAAAAGTGTTATTGTTGGCACAGAAAACATGCACATGCTTTCTTGCACAATTTGCTGAGTTGTAATATGCAGGGAAAAGTGTATTAAGGAAATTTGTTTCCAAGACTACAAAGTTGCAGACCTTGAAAATTTAAAAAGCAAGATAGTTCCCTTAACCCCTCAGAGTAGGAGTGAATCTCTTTTACATTATTTTTCAGCCAAGAAGAAATGTGAATATGCACCAGATCACCAAAGATTCCACATATGAAAAGACATTTACATCCCAATTTGGAAAAGGTGCAGTAGTGCAAGTCATAAAATACAACAGAACTCCACTGAAGTCACTAAAAACCATAAATGAAACCACTAAAAAAAACCATAAAACCACTAAAAGCCATAGATGAGCTTGGAGAGTAGAATTTCAAACCAAGACAAATAAGAAAAGGTAAATCACGAAGACAAATTCTCAGGCAAAATGCACAAACAAATTCAAAATGTGACAGAAAGTCTTCTTACCCCATATACTTTCTTGGCTCCTGCCTTTGCAGCAAACATGGAGAGGATTCCTGTGCCACTTCCAACATCAAGGACAATCTTATCTTTAAAAACATGTTTATTGTGATACATTGAGTTTCTATAGGTTAATGTGCGCACTTCATCTTTTAACATTTCCTGTGATGAAAATAAAAGCATTATGTCACTATTTGAAATGCTTATATGCATTCCACACTGCTGCTGAATGCATTCCCTTGCTGTCATTTAAGAATTATTAACACACAACATGAAGGGTTTCTCAAGTTCTTTGGGGTGCACACATCAAAGCAACTGTAAAACTCCAGCTACTTAGAGCTGAATTATTAAAAAGCAGCATGATGTCCCTTGTATGATTTTATTCTGCTATTACTTCACTGTTACAATCAACAACCAGAATGAAATCTAACCACAGCACTGCTTTGGGAATAGACAGAAGCCCTACAGAAATCCAAACATTCCTTTCCTCCTAAATCATGCACAACCCAGAGTCTCAGTGGAGGGACCTTGTGAGGTTCCTCTTTGAACAGAAAAGAAATTGTTCCATAAGACATTATAAGACAGCAGGCTTGACAGCCTTGCCCAATGTGAGGCAGAAGTCCATAGCAGAGCTTAGAAATTCTGCATTGTAAGGTCCTCCCTCACTGCTCTTCGCATTTATCCACTCGTTTATCTGATCAGTCTCCAGAAGATATTCATGTATCACCTAGACTACTCTCTCAGTTGTTGGAGTTGTCATTGTTAGGTGCTGATTTTTGATGCACTGATAGCAGCAGTACATGCACTGAATTCCATCAATACCTTGCTTTCTCTTGTACATCTTTCAGTCAAACTACAACAATAAAGAATACCCAGCTCAAGACCCAGGTGCCATTTTTAAGAGAAGTGTAGACCATTCAACACAGACTTTAGTTTTCTGAAAATCCTTCTGTGATATCTAGAAGGCTGAAGGTTTGCTTATACTGTTTCCTAATTTCATAGTTTAAGCAAGTAGACAAGTGAGTTTTTCAATTTCAGGATGAAAAGGACCTGTTCACTGCCCAGCAGTCTGAGGCAATCATGAGCTGGATTTTTCCACGTATCAGCTGATTACTTACCTGTCTTGGCAGAACACTGTGTGTGTGTTCAGTAACTGCAGATGAATAAAAGGCTACTTTTATCATAAAACATGGTTTGGTATCAGGCAAAGAGCAGTCCACCATCATTGGAAAGGTGTGAGTACACCCTCATGGAAACTGTTTCCACACATATTAAGAACAAGAAGGTGACTGGAAGTGTTCAGCGTGGATTTGTAGATGACTGGGCACTTGGTATCTTTCTATGGCAGAAGAATGGACTTTGTGGATGAGGGAAGAGGAATGGATGATTTTTATCTTGATTTTTTGCAAAATTTTCAACATTTTTTCCCCATAACATCCTCACTGAAAAATGGACGAACTATGGAACTACATAAATGGTCAGTGCAGTGGGCTGAGAACTGACTGAACTGCTATTCTGAAAATGTTGTAATGAGCAGCACAAAGTCCTGGATGCCAGTCACTATTGGTATTTCCCCAGGAGTCAATACTGATGCCTTTTGGCCTGATTTTTCAGGTGGATTCCATCTCTTCTTAGCAGACCTCAGTCCTCAAAGAGGGTCCCACAGATATAAAAACCAAAAACTTGTCACTGACATGAGCTGCACAAGCAATTGTGGACCCTTCTTGGGTCACTTGGTAACACTTCTCAAGTCCTTGTTTGCACTGATAGAATTGTGGCAAAAATCCACCTAGCACACCTTGCTGTTGATCATCATCCTAAGAGCTGCTCAGTGACACTTGATTTGCTCCAGGTCTCACTGGTGCTCCTGCAGAATAGCAACAGGCTCTAAGGGCTGGTCTAAGTGATGGACAAATGTCAGCAGCCTCTCCAGTGTCCCAGATCCAAATGCCTCAGCAGAAGGTCTTGTCAGCAGATGGGAGCCTCTGTACCCTGCAGGTGGAAGCCTTTGCTAGCTATCACTTGTCACTTGCTCTCAGTGCTTCTGCCTGGCTCAGAGCCAGATGGTTCTGGAGGTTTGTTGGACAGAACTTCCTGCCCCTCAGCTGCAATGAAGACACTGACCTTATTCTAGTCAGACATCCGCAGGTGGATCAAGAGCCTCCCTCCTATTCCCAGAAATCACAAGTTTCCAGCCTTCACCATCCAAGAGCAGTCCCCACTTCCAAAGCTTTTAAGTACAGACTCTGCCTCTCCTTTCAGTACAGTTGGAGTTTTAGGCTCTTGTACCTTCACGCTCTCAGAGAAGATCCAGTCTCTTCCTCGTGCCCCTGATGCTTCAAAGTCTGTCAGCCTCCTCCAGCAGCTCCTTTACTTATTGACACAGATCCTTTACCAGTGCACACCTCCTGCAGGCAAGGAGGAAACCTCCAAATTCCCAGCTGCAGCAAGAAGCTCTCTGCACTCCCTGAAACCTACATGGCTGTTTCCTTCCTTCAGGAGATCCATTTGATTTAAGGTCTCTGATGTGTCTTCAAAATTTCTCCTAGGTCTCCCTCTCACTCAATTGTTTCTCTTAACTACTTCCACTCTTGGACTGAATTTCTGAATGCTACACTAGTAAGATGTCATAGGCAGATAGAAATCTTTTATGCTTACAGCTCACAAACAATTACTAGAGTAATGAAAATAGATATTGTTTTTATATGCTGTTTGTAAGGAGTGCACTGAGTCATTTCACGTTTGCTTTTTTACATTCCGCTCTTAAAGATCTCATTTTCTTGCATCACAAAAATATCAGCAGGGCAAGGTATCAGTGACTTCTTTAGAACTCATCTACAGTCAACATTTTCATAGTAAATGGTCCATCAAGTATTTCAAATTCTTTCCAAGAGTGTATTTAATGGAGGTGATTTGGCTTAATGTTCCCATCAATGCAGCCTGTGTATTCAAGTAACATGCCAGGAGTCAAGAAACTGTTTGGCTTCTCATGTCAGCTGAGTAGCTGTTCTGCTGATGTCTGTGCCCAAACATGTAAGAGAACAAAACCCCCAACTCAGCAATAAGGGAGTGCCCATGGTCGTGTCCCGGCTGGTTTGCAGCCCTCATAAATGCACTGCATTGATGCACTTGTGAAATTCACCACTGCACAGACAGCCACAATGAGAATCTAAGTGGGACAGAGGTTTTGAGTACAAGTCTCCAGAGAAGTGGGTGATATATTTGGCACTGAACCAGACTACACAACTGTCAGAGGAAAGGCAGAGGAATATCATGAGTAAGTGCAACACAGATAAGTAAATTAAAAATAAAAGAAATAATAATTTTTATTATGTTGTTAGTTATTTAACAATTGATAAACAAAAATAAAGATTACCTCATGAATTCCAAAGTGAGCATAGGAATCAAAGTAATAATCCCTGGATGTCATCTCTTCTGGATTGATGAGCTTTGCCATCTTGCCTCGGCCAGGGCAGCTTGGTTGCAGTGGAACATGTATGACAGATTGAACTGGCTTTGGAACAACAGTAGGCTGTGGAGGCTGGGCTGGAATGGTGCAAACCTAGAGAAACATGGAATACTGTTAAGAGGCATCATTAAAAGAAAATATTTCTCTCTATGTCTATCTTAGTGGTATTATTGTAACTATCTAGTAGATGACAAGTCCAAAGACAGCTGGTGTATCATAAGCGAAATTTAGGCTGCTTTCTGTTCCTGGATCTTTAACTTATTTGATGTCTTGGAAAATTTCCTTAATGGATTTTTCCTTAATGTTTCTCTGCAGATATCTAAATTAGTGCAGAGTAATGGCTAATTGGTGGTGGCTGAAGCAGGTTCCTGCAAATGTCACAAAGAAGTAAAGAGCTACTTTCTCTCCATTTGTGTCCCATTTCTTCAAACTGCCACAGCTTTGTGAGAGGCAGGTTGCAATAAATAAATAGTTCCCCTTCAAAGAAGGGCTCATAATAAAAGGGTTCCAGACACAGTGTTGCCAACAAGGGCAGGATTCACAATAGATTATTAATTACCAGGTAAGGTACCTGTCTATATTGGTGAGCTAGGTGTGAGAAGGCTCACTATATCTGGAAGTCCCTGATGCTATCTGAAAATCTCTCAGCGTGTCCAGAAAGCACTGCAGGGAGCATGTGTGGTCCCTTAATGTAGTTTCCTGTTGTTGGGAGCTGTGGGAGTTAGGTGTTTCCAACACACCATGGCCCTCAGCACTTAATTTTTTATTGCATATTTCATCTCCAACACCAACATTCCGATAGACACAGAATTCTCACACCCCCTTGATTCAGATTTGATATCTGTAGCATGGAAGACAGAAGACAGAATGTTTTTCAAATATGAGGTAAAACAGACCCTGGTCTGGCCCATGTGTGTACCTATATTTTGAACCCTTAATACAAAGCAAAATGCTGAAAACTGAGAAAGACTGAGCAATATGCGCTAAGTCACCTGCAAATTACGGGCCAACAATTTCATATAGTAAGGTCAATCCTACTTTAAATATATCATATCCTCTTGTACTTTTTTAAAAATTTTTTTTTAAGACTCAGTAGTTTCCCAGTAGGGACCAGAGTTGCCTGAGCCTCTCCTCACTACTTTCATAAAGTTTATGCTGTCTTCTATAGTTTGGTACTGTGAGATATTAATCCCTTGTACTGTCTCTGAATAGCATCAATTAGCCTCGTTCAGTTTGCTTAAATTAAAAAAAAAAAAAAAAAAAGGAAAAAAAAAAAAAGCCCCCACATTTTCTGCTCTTGTTCATTTGAAGATTTATATGTGTCATCTTTTGATGGCTTCTTTGGTCCATCTGTTAAAAAAGTAAATACCAGTGGTTTATGTTCCTGTAACACTTCATCCCCAAAGACACAGAAACCCTTTATTTATAAATCTTCTCTATTTCTTACATTCTTTACTTTATCACCTCACCCTATTCACCTCACCTAGTTCACTTCCCGCGCAGAAAACACTTGCTCCCAATTGGTGTTTGTATTTCTGTGTGGTCTACTTTCAAAAATGTCCATCTGCAGTAATTTCTCTTAAGACATTGCTTCATTGCCTGTTCATTGCAAGAAGTAATGCTGGTAACTCATTCTGTCAAATGTTTCTCTTAATATTCAACTCTTTCAAATATAATCCTGCTACTTTTAATTACATACTTGTGGTTATATCTTAACTTTTTTCTCCATTGGCATGCCCCCTATGTAGTTTTTGCAGTTACCTTTCTCAGCAGTCCTTTCTGTATTTGTCTGCTGGATTAAAAAGACTTAAACTGTAGCTGTTTGAAATTCTGTTTTATTACAATATAAAATCTGTAAGGTCTTACGCTTTTCTCCTAAATCTTACCCACTGCATCACTTTAAAAGCAAAATATGTAAGTTTATATAATTCTGAATTCTGTTCCTGTACTAGGTAAGAATGTCTCCAGACACACAACAGTGTATCACAGGCAATTGCTCAAAAGGTATGTAATGAAGTTGTATCAGTTTTTGTACATGAAACCAGGGGGCTTCTAGCATTTCTGTTGCTGTCAAACTACAAATTTAAATGTGGCTTGCTGTACAACAGACAACATTTGCTACAAGAAAAGAGGCTGGTCTTGAAGACTGACAAATCTCCTATCTGGATCTCAGGCAGTATCAATTCTGCTCCTGGCTGCATGGAAGGGTCTAGACAGGATTATGACAAAAAGGTTATTCTGACAAAAGATACAGAATGAAATGAAACCTAACAATTTAGGCTAGGAAAGTTGTCTGAATGAATTTCTTTCCTGTAAAAGAATTAACTTTGCTGTTTCCTGGTCTGCAACTGAATTCTGCAATGGGCAAAGGGTGGCAAGGTAACTTTTATTATATATACTGAGGCAGCATTGCACCTTTGACTCGCGGTACGCTTTAGATTTATTTAAACTACCTGAAGACTTACTGCTCTCAACTGTGCATCTTCATCTCTGCCAGGAAGAACATATCCCACCCAGCAGAAGAAGCAGAAGCCTATTAGTTCTGCTTCTCAGCTGCCTTAGCTTGTAGCCGAGCAGCCTGTGGTAAAATGTGTGCATGGCGCTTGTGTGACAACATTTGGCTCTGAATGCCAATAGGACACGCACTGTCCATCCCGTGCTGTGGGTACCACAGCCTCAGGCACCAAGGGCAGCAGAAAACTGAACAGGGCTGGTGATCTCCTCAGCCAGCAGCACTCTGTCATAGGGACCTTAAACCAGCTGCTTGATTTCTGTTTTAGGCATACTAACACAACACAGACCTTCCGGATTCAAATGGTGTAAATTTTGCAGCATCTGTAACACCTCCTGCTAAAATTTCAGCGTGTTGCACTGTAATTCTGGAATTCCAAAACAATGTCACAATTACAAGAATAATTTTGTGAGTGGGGCTCAGGAAATCCCTCTGTCAGTCACTTGTCATAGACTCTGTGAGCAATTTCACTCGAGAGCAACTTATGCGCTATGACAACAAATATCTGGGGAAAACATCAACATAGTGGACAACAAGAGAATAAAGAATTGCAATGAAAGCTATTATTTGTATCACAAACAATAAAGTCTTCAGGCATACAATTCTGAGATTCTAAACTAGAAACAACTATGCTTTTAGGGATATGGTACAATTGCTTAAGGAGAGAACACGCTTTTAAGACAAAAGCTATCAAGGAAAGACAACTTCCTGTATTCTTTCCAGAACTAAAATGAACCCTTGATGTGATTTGCAAGCTTAGCATATATATATATATATATATAGCCTACATGAAATCCAACTCATCTTTTGAATAACACCTGAAAAGGCAAAGCATCTGGGCTGGGGGCAAACCTCACATCAATGTAAAAAAATTTAAAAAACTCTCTGCAGAATCCATGTATGGATTCTGGCCAGCTGCACACAATCCCAGAACACTGGCTTGCTGCTAATGCAGATGAAGTCTGAAAGAATGGAAGCAGCTGCTTCAGAATTCATTCTTCACTGTGCTAAACATGCAGCCCCCTGTTTTTCCATCTCCCATTTTGTACTGAAGGTGGAGGTGGGGGTCTGAATGATCTGAGGAGAAGTCAATCACTGCTTTGCAACTGAAGTCCTGCTTTTGTGCACCATTTCAACATTTAAAGCAAATTAAATTATGGACGTATTTTCCAACTTTAAAAAATCAAAATTTATTTCCTTTTTCCTTGTAGACAGGGTTGGTACACTGCAGGTGATCAAATGTACTGGCACAGGACTGGTGTCCCTAAAAGCTTTGAATTTTCACAAAAGACAAGATTTGTAAACTTCATTCTTTCTCAAAATCCCACAACTCAACATCCCGATGTAGGTTTCTAAAACATATATAGGCACCTCAGTGACACCTCTGTGTGACTTTGAGATATATAGAATTGCCCATGTGCATCAATGGGTACTGCTGAAGTTCTTTGAAAACTGGACCTAATCCAACATGGACCGACAAGGCTGTCTGGGTGTACAACTCTCAAAATACAAAAGAGAACTGGGTATTCAAAAATCATGAGCTATTTTTGAAAATTTGAGCCTTTTAGATATATCCATCTGTCTACAGAGAGACAAGATGGTGAAATATGCACAATTCAGTTTTTAGGAGGTTTGTGACAAAAGCTGTGGTGTGTAGAGTAAAAATAAACTTGAATTTCAATTCTCTTTTCTTGATATTACTATGGAGACACCAGGCTGGAGGTTAAAATTCCAATCCTTGCAAAACTGTTGTTCAAGCTGCAGTGTTTTATTCTTGACAAATTATTAGTTATTCATGGCATTTTTATGACATTGAAGCAGTTAACTGTACCTTCTGCTGGGAAGTGCTTAATTTTTCCTTAAGAAATTAATTAAGAATGGGGTAACAGTTTTAAATTATTCTATTTCAGCATTACCTTCCTTTTAAACAAGAGGTTTTATCATACCTAAATGTCAACTTCACTTATTTTTTGAGCCAGATAGCTTTCTATGCCAGAACTACAAGAATATAATGTTCCTAACACCATCTTCATTGGTTTGAATTTAATAATCAAGACCTCCAGAGTGCAAGAGATTATCAACAGATATGCAATCACCATAGTGATTCCAACAATACAGCTTCTTCCTGCTGCAGATAGAAAAGCACAGCCAAATATAAGAGGTAGTTGCTATTCTCCTGCCAAAATTTAGGCTTCAACAAAAACTTGTAGGCAGTCTTCATGTAGGTTAAAACCTCCTTTGAATCCTTTATCTTGTACTATTTTGAAGTCTTTGTCCAAGGCCTATCTTAAGTGATCTTTGGATAGGCCAAAGAATCCAATCAAGTATCAGAGAAGTTTTAACCCGATTTTCTGAGGAAATGAAGCTTCTACAGATTCTTGCCTATGCCTCCCATTAATAACTTTTGAGCTTGATTTGACAGAAGTGTGGAAATATCAAATGCAATTATATTTTGGTAAGTTTCTTGAAAGCCAGAAATTAGGCAGAAGGATAAGTGATTTCATGATCCACTGAACAGGCAGCTAGATTTCAGCTGTCATGCTTTTTACCTGCTCTAGGTTTATTAAGCCACCTGGCTGGT